GGTATTGTACACAGGTAAGTTGGGGAACTAGGGATCGAGCCCTGGGATCTGCCTCAGCTACCACGAATTGGTGAATACCGTTTCATTTACAATGAGATGGAAAAAAAAAATAAAAAAATGATGAACGTTTGGTAAATTGAATTGGGAAAATTTCAAGATTATTTAGATGAAATTAATAAATTGTATCGGCATGTTGTAAAATTGGAAAGAATTTCAAAGAAATTTCCAAAACAATTCCAAAGGAATTTGAAACGAATTGCAGAATTTCGGAATTTTACGATGGATAGAAAGTGGATGTCAGAAGGATTAAATTTAATAATTTCCGAAATTTCTTTCACAAATTTCTGAAATGAAACTGAATAAATAACGAAAAGAATCAAGGAATCATAGGAGTTTGCGTAACTTTTGAACACGAGTGCTGAAATTAATTCCAATGACGGGGTTGGGGGAGAAGAGAATGAAGATTAATCCTAACGAATTAGATTGAAATTCTGAACGGCAGGATGGACAGCATTGTCAGACTAACACAAAGAAGGAAGATACGTGTCGTACTTAGTAGGAATTTTGGATGATGCGAGCAATTAGGTGGGAGGGTGGGGGAGAGAAGGGGTATTGGAGAGGAGATAAAAGATGGAGAAAAAGATGAGATCTTTGAGAGAAGGCGGCGAGAGGAAGGGAGGGGATTAGTAAGAGGGAAATAGATAAGCAATACCGCGCTCTCGGTCGGCCGGGAGCAATGAATGTCCTTCCTCCTAGTCGAGGAAGGTCTTCATTTAACCCCTAAAGGGTCTTCTCGATCGTTCCCCCGGTGGAACGACGAGGTCGCCGGATAGATCGCATGGACAGATGATAAAGAACCGTGATGATGACGAGTGTCGATGATGATGATGATGATGATGTGTCAGCACCACGAATGTCGGGGGAGCACCAAGCAGCGTCGCTGTAAACACGCCTCTTCTAGCTTGAAGTCCTGAGACGCTAGAGGATCGACGGGCGAGCCTCTCACTGTTTGTATTCGTACTGGAAGTCAAAATCAAATGAGCTTTTGTCCTTTTGCTGCACACGAGATTTCTGTTCTCGTTGAGCTCGTCTCAGGACACTTGCGTTCTCTCCTAGCAGATGCGCCGCTCCAGCATAGGTCCCGGCGTGCACGTGTGCGCGGGCGGGGAGTGGTTGGAGAGGGAGCGTGGGAAGGGGGGGGGG